TGACCGAAAAAGTATATGTTAACCGGATGAGCAAGCTCGCTTGATTTCTCAACAACTTGGCTTAGGACGAGGATCTGATCAGAAGTGCTGCGGCTTGACCTGAAGCCATTCTACTTTTCATTCATATTAGAGCCATTCATTTTTCTGAACTTCCATTCTATCCCCTTTGCATGGTGCTGTCCTGGGAGGCTGAATAAGGTGATGAGCCGATAATTTGTGCCCTCAATTGTCGGTTTTCCTTAGCAGAGGCGCTTCAGGCCGTATTCTCCATTCCACTGATATCCTTATTCTTGCCACAAAATGGATTATTCACCAGTAGTTGTTAGCATCTGCATGTTAGCGCAGATTTAATCGATTCCAGTAGTCTTGCTGCTGTTCATACGTTTTACAATTTCTATGACTTCATTCTCTGATAGGATAATGTTCCGGCCTGGTGTTATCCAAACGAGTATTTGCAGTTTCTCTGAGTGAAAAAGTTCCTCATAATACTCTGCATTGTTGAAGTATGTCTTTTCTCTGGTGAGAACTCGCCGGTACTCGTCTTTCACGACCTTCAGCCTGACTTTTCCATTTCGCAGGCGGGCAGAATACCTTGCTTTTCGTCCGGAAATTTGATTTTTTCTCCTCACCGACGTTTCCTCAGAAAGCTACCTTCACTTTGGCTACTGTTTTTGCTGTCGCCATGCACGTTTCTTTGACTTCATTCGAGTGGTGCAGTCTCTACCTCCAGGTCACCTTCTGAATGCAACGTTCTTGCTGGCAGCCAACTGAAACCTGGTGTCCAACAAGAGATTCGTTTCTGACCTTGAGGTAGCAGGCCGAACCATTTTAAACCGCATCATTCCACGTCTCCCGTTATCACTGGAATATTATGCTGTTCCCAAATTTCACCTTAGTTTCCGCAGAAGCGTATGTCCAAGATTTCATTTTCCGGTTGTCTCTGCCGCTAGGTCGTCGGATGACACCCCATCGTTTGCGGTGGAGGGTTCAGGCAATAAGTTGATTGTCGGTTGATGACCTCCGCTTCTTTTTGC